TGTCCCACCTATCGGGGTCGACGTCTTCCTGCCCCAAAAGTAACTTCACTACCCCAACATGTTCATTCTTCGCAGCCCACGAGAGCGGCGTTCGCCCATTACAGCCTAGCCAATCCGGGTTTACATCTTCCTGTTCCAACAATAGTTCCACTACTCCATCACGCCCATTCTCCGAAGCTAGCAAGAGTGTTGTTCCATCAATATAGCCCACATCCCGGCATTCCAATAACAGTTTCACTACTCCAACGTGCCCATTCTCAGCAGCTTGGGAGAGCGTTCTTTTGCCGTTATTATCTACCAAATCGGGGTTAACGTCTTCCCGTCCCAATAGCAACTTCACTACTCCATGGTGTCCATTTCCGGAAGCCCGTGAGAGCGGTGTTTGCCCAAGCCATGTATCTGCCATATCAGGCTTGATGTCTTCCCGTCCCAGCAGTAGCTTCACTACTGCATCCCACCCGTTTCCTGCAGCCCACAAGAGCGATGTTTGGCCGAACCATCCATCTGGCACATTGGGTTGGACTTCTTCCTCCCGAACAATAGCGCCACCGCTCCATCATGACCATTCGCGGCAGCCCACGAGAGCGGTGTTCGCCCACCATTATCTGGCAGATCAGGGTTGACGTCTTCCCATCCCAACAACAGTTTTAGCACTCCATCATGCCCTTTCTCGGCAGCCCGCAAAAGCGGTGTTTTGCCAACATTGTCTAGCATATCGGGGTTGATGTCTCCCCGCCCCAGCAGTACTCTCACCACGCCATCATGCCCATTCTCGGAAGCCAAGAAGAGCGGTGTTCTGCCACTCTTGTCTGGAAAGTCGGGGCTGATGTCTTCCCGTCCCAACAGTACCTTCACCACTGCATCATGCCCATTTTCGGAAGCCAACAAGAGCGGTGTTCTGCCACTCTTGTCTGACAAAACGGGGTTGATGTCTTCCCGTCCCAACAATGCCCTCACCACTCTATCATTCCCATTCTTGGAAGCTAACAAAAGCAGCCTTTGGCTATATTTGCCTATAATGTCGGATTCGACATCCTTCCTACCCAATAGCAGCCCCATAGCCTCCACGTGCCCCCCTTCAGAGGCCAGCGAGAGTGGCGTATCGTCGTATTTGTCAGGCCTGTTGGGGTCGACATGTCTTCTTCCCAAAACCATATTCATCGTTCGGAGTGTCTTACCCCACCAACCATCCGTGCCATCGGTATTGGCAGATGCCCAGCCAAGAAGTATCCTCACCATTCCTTCATGCCCGCTCCCGGCAGCCCATGAGAGAGCTGTTCGGTGAAAATCTGTATCTGGTTTGTCGGGAATGATGGACTGCTCTTGTAGCAGCAGCTTCGCTACCTCCTCGTGTCCACATATAGCAGCCCATACGAGCGGTGTAATGCCTAGAAAATCCCTTCCATTGAGATCGCAATTTGGCTGGCCCATGAGAGCAGTGGCGATTTCAACAGTGCCAAAAACTGATGCACAATGCAGTCTAGTAAACCCGATCAGTTGACCGTTAACGGGGATATCACAGTTACATCGATCGGTTCTGGATATGAGATACAATAAAAGTAACTTGGTGGATATGTGGCTTTCAATCTGACAAAAAAGCCTAGCTGCAAGCGATACCACTTCCCTTGAAGTCTGTCTTCTGGCGTGGGCCCCCCCAATACAGAGAAGAATATCTGAGGAAAGGAGCCGGCTGAAGGGGAGCAAAGAATCTGGGCGAAATCTCCTTAATCGTCCGAAAATTGAGGTATGTTAGACAGGTCTCAGCCATTATTGAGTGAGCCGTTGCAAAAAGGTCGGGGCAGGTGTAAAGGTACTCCTGAAGGGTGAAATGGATCAAACGAACAGTCGAAGCCTCATTATCGACGACCACAAGTCCTAAACAGCAGCTCAACAATATCTCTACCGAAGGGATCCTATCTGTATTAAGATCCGTAGATCCTATCTCGACGGCTAGAGCGTGGAGAAGCTCATCAAGTTGTAATAGCCGCTCCGAATGCGATATCCACATCAGTGCTGCAATCCCGAGCCTTGCTTTCTCCCCACGCTGCTCCTTTATCCGTTCTAGAGTCGCGCCATAAACACCCTTCAAATCCAAACCATCAGTCATTTCCCTTAGCTTGTCGCCTACCGTAGGCTGTGGTTTCCCCAAGGATAGCATCCATAGTTAGGGAAACCAGTAGTAATCTAATTATTTTGGTTAGTGAGGAATTTAGACTCCATCTCGTTGTCGTTCGCTTACGTTTCGGGAATATTTTTAGCCACACTACTCATAATCTCTGCTTCCAGGCCGCCCCATCCCATCTGGAGGTGTATCCCTACTCAATCTCATCCGAATATATCCCACGATATGACCATTATTAGGTTTTATGGACAAAACCGCCGCCCTCCCCCCAAGACGTCTTTCAATCTCACCCTGAATGTACCGTCTTCCGGTTAGGAATATTAGGGTGTTTGAGGACCTCTCGATGATTGCTCTCAACGAATCTAGAACTTCAGGTCGATGCCTTTCCACACATTCGTCAAGAGCATCAACACATATAAATGTCCGTTGTAAATATGTGACAGTCTGCAACATCCCTACAATATCAGGCACTCGCAGTCCTCTTCCACCAATGACCTTTTTGTAATCTTGAAAGGTTCGACTTATCTCGTCCGGGATCCTCTCCAATCCGCCGATGATCTGCTTTAGTAGTGAACCCAGCATGTTTTCCGGGGACTGCTCCTCCCTCGCGGTGAAATCAAGGTAGAAACACGCAACGGCTATATTCTCCCCTCTGGCCTTATCGCATAACCTGTCTACCACAAGCGAACTAGCACCACCGCTCATTAGCGCCACTACACTCCAGCCCCCGCTTCCCCAGGACTACCCCTTACCCAAAATAGGTCTTGCCGACAGCCGGATCGCCGTAGCAAAACAAGGTCGCACTCTCAGATCCCTCTTCCTGAGCACTATCGCACCACCTTCGAAATTCATTAGTTTGTAGCAGCCGTTCCCCTACGTTGTCGGCTCGGCGGGTTCTAATGTCTTGGTGTCGGGCACCGGGCTCCAGTGGAGAGAGCCATGCTAGGATTTCAGACCGATCATCGGCAACGGCATAGTGGTTCGACACAACCGAGATACCGGTATTCGACACATTGAAAGAGTTGACATTATTCGTGAAATCTTTAGACATTTTTCTTCTTTTCGTTGTCTCAAGCGCTAAGGGGAACAAACTTCACAGGCGGGGTTTGCCGATTAAATTCTGGAAACTGAAGAAAAGTGGTAGCCTTGTGAGAGCTCGGCAGTTGCCTGAGTGTCAGGGTTTACCAGGGCAACGAGGTTGACCTTCCCCATGCGTGAATGTACAAGTATGATACCGGTACATACTGTACATATCACACTTATGACTCAACTCTCGAGTCCTCAAAACTTCTCTCCGAGCGACAGGAAATCTCCTATCATAGCACGCACACTGCTCTCTACGCTTTCAGACCATCATAATGTTTCTGACCTTTCTGCACATGTCTGACACCTGAACCGGCAGGCGATATCTCCAGATATTCCATCCCATTAGCAAATATTGGCAAACATTTGCAGTTACCCGTAGCTATCTGAGGATGTCTTGCTGCCCACAGACACAGAATTCACTACCACACGGCACTACCGGTATACCGGAAGGCCCTGACACCGCCATCACCCACGAAACCCGTAGGCTTAGGAAAATAGGGGGTATATCATAATAACCCTATGCCGCTCCCACTTCGACCCAGCCTAGGGGGAAGGGACTGTCTGTCTCCGGACCATTATGTGCGCCGGCCCGACTACCCCCGAATCGCAAGAGGGGAACGAATCGAGCCCGTTCAAATCATCAAATTCCCACCCCACTGAAAGCTCCAAACACAGACAAGCTCTTCGTATCCCAAATAACCCTGTATAATAGATGTCGAAAGAACGGAGACATCTGCAAGAATCTACACGAATCCCAATCGCCAGGCACTTTCTTAATCACAAGCCTCGAGTAGAGCAGAGCAAACCCCGGAAGTCGCTCGGTAATCAAGGTCTAACAAACGAATTACGACCTCGAGGAATGTAAAAAAATAAAATAGGATACCGAAACCACCGCAGCCCCCGAAATTTCGGCAATCCGACGGCGTGAGCAAGGCTGAGTAAAATCAAACGAACGAACGGGGGGGAACGCAACCCGGATAAGGTACTAGACCTCACGGTATCCGAGCCCCCGCAGGGTGATACATCCATCAGGTTTGTCAGGCAAGTATGATAATTATCAAAGATTTAATTTCACACACAACTACAAAAGCGGCGTGCGTGGCCGTGTAGACGTGCAGTAGTGAGTGGCCCCATCATGGCACAACGTGGAACTATACCGTAGGAGGGTCTAGTATCTCTCGATAACTTCAGAAAATAATTCAGATATCATACCGTGTATATACCGCAGAATGAAGGATGTTCCGCACCGCCGCTGTGGCGCCGGGAGGCATTTGAACCTTGCAGTGCAGTAACTTACTCTATGATAATGCCGGAAGCGATAGAGGGTAAGTGTGTAACCCCCCCACCCCTTCTTATGGCTTCCTGCACCATATCGAATTTCTATCCCACGTCTATTCTCACACCCGCGCTGTCACCCTCATCATATCATATCACAATCAACAGTCATGAGTGATAGTTTGTGATGGGGAATTTAAGTCTTGTGGGAGCCGGAAATACTCTACTCTACTACTGACCGGAATGTGACCATGGAGGAGTGGGACGTCCTGTGCTACGACTCCCGATAAATTTTCCTATCGACTTGGCCTCAGACTAAACGGATCTCACATAACAGTTATTACTTTTGAGGGTATCGTAACCCAAAACTGGAATGAAGCAAAAATCATAGAGTAGAGTAGATAGTGACTGTAGCTAGGCCAAGCAAAGTAGAACGCCCCCCTTCCAAACACGTCAGGACCCTTCATGATCCGAGACGTTACAATATTCCCTCTATTTCCCGAGTAATTTATCCAAGTTACTCTCCACCTTCAGTACCACTATCATCCTCATCACCATCCCCTACCTCGCCGGCAGCGTCCTTCGCCGGGTCATCCTGATCAAGCGCATCGGAGCCCTCCTCGGCAGCATGAACAACCTCAACCGTCAACCCTTCATCCTGCGCATAAACCCGCAGGCCCACACACGCGACAGCATCCCAGTAATTCTCTTCGTCGTCGTCTTCGTCGTCAGAGTCAGAGTCAGAGTCAGAGCCCTCCTCTTCTTCTCCCTCCTCACTCCCGCTTTCCTCTTCTTCCTCGCCTTCTCCGTCCTTTGCGGCTTCTTCTCCTTCCGCCGCGTCATCTGCTACCTCGCCCCCACGGAAGCCGGCCTTCATGCCAGGCTTGGAGGACCGCATACCCTTTGATTTTTTGTCTGGGGCGGGAGAGGTCTTATCGGGTCCTGACCCCGACCTCGTGCCCCCCCCGGGGCGTTTTCCGGGTTGAGCCTTTTGCCGTACCGCTCCAGCTCCCGCTCCGACTCCCGCTCCGACTCCCGCTCCCCAGCCTGAGCCGGCACCTTCATGTTCGGTTGAGTCGGCCCCGCCAGCTTTTTCCTTTTCGGCTCGCTCCTTTTCCTTCTTCTTCGCCCGCACAGCCATCTCGGTGATGACCTCCTCATCTTCTGGCTCTGTTGTAGCCCTGGCAAAGGCGAGGTCACAGCTCATTCCGATTTGCAAAAACTTCCTTCTGTTATGTTTCTTCGTCTTCCTGACGACCTTGTCTTTAGTGTGCGCCTCGCGGTCCTTCTCACCAGTGATCTTGAAGATGACGGTGTACTTTCCTGGCTCCAGCTCGAGCTCCGCGTTTACGCTTCGGGACATGCCGACGTTTGATCGTGAGCGAGTGATGTACTCCGTCTCACCTTCCTTGTGTATGCGGAAGTGGAGGTTGAAGGAGTACTGCCCCGTGAGGCCGCGGAAGTAGCGATGATCGAGCTGAGAGAGGACGATCACTACGGGACCCTTTGTGGTAACGTTGACTTCGAATCGCGTCGGACTGTATTCCATTGCCCATGGCACTGGTACTCTGATCCAGCGGTTTGTGACAGTCCAGCTGGGGTCGAAAAGGCGGGTACGATCGATCTGACTAAATTTGTGTAGGAAGTCATCGTCTGCTACCATCAGCTAAGAGCGAAAACGCAACGACACGGTTTCTAGCTTACATGACATCCAAAAGGCACCGTCGTCTCCGAAACGATGCTCCAATAGTGTCATCCACTCAGACGTCCACTCTTTCGAACCATCACTCCATGGACCGGTCCACTCGGTGCATCCCCATGGGTTTCTAACACAATTAATATCCGTCCGATACTACCGAGCCTAGAAGGCCGTACCTAATCAAGACGAATCGCTTTCCATTCACTTCCCTCGCCTTAAGAACCGAATACGCATGTCCGGACAAAATTCCGGATCGCTCCTCAGCCACATTTCCCAATAAACCAGCTGCGAACAAGAAATCCTTGTTTGCAAGAATAAGCTCTTCCTTCCAGAACCTGTCCTTATCCAGGACATCACAGGTATAAACCTCACTTGTAACACCCCCGGTCAAGTCTTCGACCGCCTCACTACTCTTTGTATCAGTCAACCATTACCCACCACCACACCGAGCAGGGAAAGGAGCAAAGGCTCACCCAGTCCAGCCTCCCTCAATCGCACCATAATCGCCATGGGCCTTTGCATACGCCTTCTCCAGCAACGGTAACCAAGTCTCATTCTTATCCTCGCACTTGGCGAAGGATAATGCCTTGGACCCCTTGGCAAAAGTCTGATTGTACTCCTTTTCCTTTCCACTAAACTGTGCTTTTACGTACCAATCGGCGTCGTGGTACTCCCGGGTATTGAGGTATAGCTGGTCATCGACGATGGTCGATATCCATTCACCATCTAGTAAGCCGCAGTTCGTTAGTCAATGAAAAACCAGTCGCATGGGTTCCATTTAAGGCCGACATACCGCGCATAAAAATAAAGCCATACACACCCACCTCTACGAGATAGCGGTAAGTTAGCAACGAGGTTTTCCAATCAATCATCCTGGTTAGGGTTGAGTAGGGTTAGGGTGGTGGGAACCATACGCTCATCCCGGGCGACACAGATCTTCTCGACAAGGCCGGATACGTTTGTGATAGTGGTCACTGCGGCCATGAACCAGCAATCGCCCGTCTAACCACACCAATCAGTTGGATTCACAGCCGGCAGGTTCTCGGCACGCGGCACTTACAGCTCCTTGCTGAATATCACCTATTATCATCATTATTTCGATAATTAGCACTCACAACCTATCTGTGGCACAAGCCCGCACTACCGTCCGGGCGAACCTTACCCGCACTGACACCATCCTTAAAAAACTTGGGCGTGTCAAAGATTTCCTACCCCGCAGTCCATCAGCGCTAAGCCCCTCAAGCCACAGCTTATCTTTACGAGGGGTAAAAGCAAGGGAGGAAAAAATAAATAAAAATAGACAAACCTCAACCCTTGCTACCCCAGCAGGGTGCAGCTCGCTCGCTAGGTCCTGCGTGAGTCCATCAAGGCAGTGCCGTCCGTCATTTCGCAGGTCGAAATGGAAATCTCTATACTTCCTGTTCGCGCTTCGGCACTCTTTGGTTATCTTGGCTACCTTGGCCTTGCAGTGCTCGACAGCATCGTGAAAGCTCTGGGTGGCGGTGACAGATTTGGCTGCACCATGTGGAAGGTGCGCAGCTGCGGCATCCGCAAGTTTGTTCCTTGGAAGGATGGTCCTTGACTTTGGCGCTGATGTATCCTCAGCGGCAGTTGCCGCCGGCTCGTCCACCTTCTTGGCGTCTTTGTCCTTTGGCTCCTTGCGCTTAGCAGTAGTAGAGGTATACATGGTGGATAGATTGAATTGTGACAATTGGTAGTGATAGTTGGAATAATTTGGACTGCGATGAGAATAGTTGCTTCTGGAGAAGGGGGGGGATGAGGGTGACTGGTGTTGTTATATACAGCCTTATCTCTTCGTCCGAGCCTGGAGCTAAAGTGCCGCGGTGGCGGTATAAAGAGCAGCCGCTCACTGAGATTATTACGGGGTCAGAATACCCGTTGACGTCAGCGAAGCCCCGCCAATTCCTACTTCCTTGACAGAGCTGTGCGAATGTGCTTGATCTACTACTGCAGTGTTCGCGCAACCGGACACTTACTGAACCCTCAGAGTTTGAGGGGCTGTTGTGCTACATACCGAACAATAACTCAACCCAGCAGGTACGGTACCGGTACTCGAGTAGAGATACCGGTACAAAGCTAGTAGTAGCCCCACGGATTATGAGCACAGCGCACAGAGCGCTACCGGTATACTCGTGCACAGCACCTGAATAGACCCCTTCGAGTTCCCGGATAATCTCCGCCTAGGCAGACATCGCGAGATCCAAAACCCGTCCAAATCGAGAAGCTAACTACCGTAAGAACTCAAATACAAGAGAAATGTGCTAGGACGTTGGAATTCCCCTTCTCGACAAAGCGTGGGAAAAACACCGCAAACCCAGCCCTCAGCTAAGACAAAACAAAAGGAATATACACGGCGCCATACTAGGAGAGGCAACTGCAACGTCCTAGCACATTTCTCTTGTATTCGAGTTTTTACGGTATTCTACCCGCGCTCAAAATAAGAGAGCCTACTTGTACTTGTACTAGTCCCACGCCAAAAGTGCCCAAAGACAGGGATCAAAGAAATATAATATTATGGTAATAAAGTCATGAGTATCTAATGGCCAATACAAAAACTCACACAGACACACACACCCCTGCCCCCGGGCACTTATGGCTGGGGACAAGCCTGCACTGCAACACCGTATCCTCACGGCACTGGAGTCGTACAATGCTACCGGCCCATGCAGAGTGGAGGCTCGGTGTCAGCAGTCGAGTTCATGCTGCGAAATATAAATTACGGTAGGTATGTCAGCGAGTTGTAATGCAGCACCAACACACACACGGAGGAACGGTGGTAAGCTGCCTCCTTCTCCAGATCTTTCCGCATACTCGTAACGATGTCAGGTAGATGCAACCAACGATTATTGGTCATGTTGGCCCGCACCGCTACCCCGTGCGTCTCACCACAACATGGTTTATTACACGGTACGGGTAGAAAAGCTTACGGTAATCTACCCATTCAGCCCCAGCCCCATCCGAACGGTGATCCCCGGTTCAGGGAGGGGTTCAAGGCTTGCCGGGGAAACTTCCCGCCTTTGGATCCAACTATATCCGCGCGTAGACATATTGCAGCCCGCCATATCACACATGCATGGGAATTCTTGATCACCAACGTAAATTATCATATAACCAGCCGTTAGGCTAGCCCATCCTCTTTGCTGACCGCCAAAACCTAAATTTTCATCACTACCCAGATGGCAATCGGCTTTCTCTTGAACGGACTGATGCTCCGACGGAGGGCGGAATCGCATAGTGATGATCACCAAAGCCCCCGCGCCCAAGCACTCACATGCGAATCACATTAATACCTCATGCTGGCCCTGACATTTCTAACAAGACCAAACGCCGAACCATTACACTCCCCAGAGTACATTAAACTACTGCAACCCTTGCTATATCGTACTGCATACCTCTGAGAGCGGTTTCCGAATCACTTCGTCTTCTTCTTGAAGCTCCCCAACCATTTCCTCAGGGCTGTGGTGAAAATCCTTCTCGAGTTCGCACCATCCGGCCACGTAGTCCTGAGATCGAAGCAGTGGGCTGCGCCTTTGAGAAGGTAGCCAAATACCTCCCCCCTAGGTGTTGAAACCCCCTCCTCTGGGATATCTTGTGTCAATTTGACTCCTTTCGGCGCCAAAGGCTCCTCGGATAACAGAGATAAGGCCCCCCATGGGTCGTATTCGCCCCCTAGTGCCTGGTCAGCCACGAACAAGTCAAGGAGTTTGTGTAATACCCGAGAAAAACACATTCGAAGGTCGAAGGTCCCAACCACCATATTCCCGATTGACTTTATCCACAGCCGGGCTCGAAGGTAGCAGACCGCTAGAAAGCCCCTGGGGGAATTGCCGGTAACAGATATCTTGCCGGTGCTTGAGACTATTATAGGATGATACGATTTGATTTGGCCCAAGGTTTGCCGACTGGAAGTACCCTGATTATTGTCAGACCAAGATCCCCCGCCCTTGTCCGAGCGCAAGCTCTTACCCCATTCACTACAACACTGGTATGTCCAAGACACGGCTTCCGGACCTGGAAATGGATCGTCAAGTCGGCAGTTCGGTTGTCCTACCGTACTGTTTCCATAATACCCCGCACAACTGGTCGGCGCGTAGTAATTAACCTAAGCCACTTGTGAGCATTCGGGGTCTTCTTTCAATACTAGATTAGGTTACCAACAACAGTCCCGAATGCTTGCCATGAAGCCCAGCGATCAGAAGTAAATTTAGCTCCTTTGCTTTTTGCCCACCCTTCCTCCCCAGAGACCCCCCCGGTCTCAGGATTCGTAGAAATCCAATCGCAGAATGATCTCATATTTGCTATCCACATCTATCAGATTAAACTTCAGACCCTAAATCTCGAATCCTCCGCACTGAAACCTACCCGGAGTGCCCTCAGCCTCATCGCTCTGCCAAGAGTAATAGATAAAAGTCAGAGCATCTGCGAAACCCTCATTAGAGTTATTTTCCGCGCCAGCCCCCAGATATTGTTTCTTTATAGCCGCCGAGGTGTCAGCCCTGGATAGTTGGTCGTCAATATACTTAATCGCTGCTACAATGTCGTTGGTGCAATTTTTGAACCCAAGCCCGTTGAGCCCACGATATACCTGTTCAAAATATACCGACATATCGATCTGGGCCTGGACCGGGGCGGAAGAGGAAAACGAGGCAAATATTGTCTCGGGATACTTCTGCCGAACAAACGCCGCACGCATGCCGGGATAGCTTCCGCCGATGAATACCCATGGTGTAGAAGCAGGTGTCAAGTCTATGTTGGGAAAGCTACGAAGAGTGAAGTTGTTGGCAAATGCCTAGCTATCAGTCAGTGAAATCCATTGGTGAAATTGGCAAACCGTGCTACCGGAATATCTGCAAGGGCTTGGGCAGTATTCAGCCACCGAAACTCCTCCACAGGTGTGGTACGAGAGATGTTGACATGTGATGAGGCTCCATAATACCTGCACAATTAATCCATTAGCCATTGCTCATGAAGCCGTTAGGAATTCCGAATTCTGTTTACCGATGCTCCCAAACGATTCCAATCCCATTGAATTCTTGGACCATTTGCCGAAAGAACGAAGTGCTGTTGGCAAGCCTGAACTGAACACTGGGTTCCGCGTTACCTTCTCCGGCATCATATACTCGACGTCGGTCAGCATATCATAAAATAGCACGTGATCAGAGGCACAAACTGAATACGGGATTCCCAGGCTGGTAGAATTCTTCTAGCACCCAATACCTATTTTCGAACGTGCCAGGATGGTTTCCGAAGTGATCAAGCGGGAGCTATGATACCAGAACATGCATGCAGCAGATATCAGATCCAGGTAGTGAAGAGAAGATGGGGGGGAGACCAATCACCTTGACCGTTTCAGATAACACACCCGCTGCTCGGGTCACAAAGGCCCCAGAACGAACATCTCCCAATCCTTTTTCCAACCCTCCCCCACCCTCGGCATCAGCTCGACCCCGATATTCGAAATATGGCCCCAGACTTATCACCGCCTCGGCAAGGCCGAGAAGCGCTAACCCTATTACCGGTTGTTTCCACATCTCCCAGGTCAGTCTCCTCGTTCTCAAGTGTAGGAGAACGAAATGTACCGTACCTGAAGAGGGACTACGGTTTGCTTTTAAACCCAGGGAACCAGGCCCTTGCCCGTGCCGCGGCAGGGGGTGCAAGCAAGGACTTCGCCAACACTACTGGGGCTGAGAGCTACTCTAGGAGTGTCGGAAAATTGCGAATGATCTGCGGTAACATGCACGGGGTACTGTCCCGTACTCGTAGTTGTACATACCGGTACCGGTACTCAGTACTGCTGTAGTACTGTACTCGTACAGCTTGTGGTTAAAAAAAAATATTGGGAAATGTGACATGGGATTTCAGAGCTCTGGTTGGAGCGCTTGGTGGCCTGAGCCAATCGACTTCCGTGTTTCTAGCCCCTATTTTGCTATAGGAGTACCGCATTCCTACTCGAAAACACGTGTACGAGTAAAACACCGGTACCAGTACAGTACCCCAGTGTGCCCGTATCACGCACCACAGTGGGCCGTAAAATAACGGCACCCCTACGAGTAGCGGGAACCACATCCCCCAAGTGCTAACGTTTCATTGGACCAGGGGTGGCTGCTTCCCGCACTTGGGGCCAAACGGCCCACCCTGTCCATCACGGATCGAACGAGCAATATTACTGTACTCTGCCTTGGGTGATTCACGACAGCCGCTGTGCCTTGTTCCTGATTTAGGACTCGCAAGCAGCGCAATACCATAGACTGGCACTTTTTCATCTGCCGTCACCAAACCCGGTATGATACAATTCCACCATCCTAATCGAAGCGATACTTACCACCCCCCCGGAGGAAAGAACATTCATGGAACACGAAACCCCCGCAATGCTTGTAGCTCTTCCAGGCAGGAGATAATACCTCCGAATCAGGGCTTCAGTGGCTATGGCAGAGTCCCACCCCTTACCGATTACCGGGGAGCGTGCTCAGTTAAAATCTCGGGGCCCGGAGCTCTGATATGATATTCCGGTCGCCGGCTTCCAAGGCCCTACCCCTTACAAGGGTAATTTCAAGCTCCCAATAAACCCATCTTCTGGCATAAATTTCTCCATAACTTTACATGATAGAGCTTTTATATTGAGGGTGTTTGGTATGGCTAAAAAAAATGCCATTTTATTTCCCCTGGGTGGGTTTCACGCGCCACAGCTTTCGGGCTGGGTAGTGAAGGTTTAGATTTTGAAGAAGAAAGTCTGACATATGATATAGCCATTTCTTTCTTTATTCCCTTCCGCCAGCAGTGGTTAATAAGGTGTCTAACTGTAAGATTTAAGGGCATTGCTACCGGTATTAGGACCACCGAAAAGCACACTATGACATCCCAATGTTTCATATTTTCCATATCACGCCCGCGCCAAATACTCGTATCCCTTTCAGCACACTGGGGTACCGTATGTTGTTTACAGTTTTATTATTATCAGATTAAAAAGCACCGGCATGGTTGACCTTCCGAACAGAGCCTCAGCACTAAACCCTACATTGAGCTCCAACCCCATTCGGAGCACACATGCAATTCGTTTTAGCACAAACCTATCATACGGCATATACCGCAGACTACAACCCTAGGTCAGTCGATAAGCGCACACCACCCGTACACAGTGAACCATTACCCCCTGTCCCCCCCACGGGAACACAGGCCAGCAATTCGGTGACTCTTCGGGTGGCAGAGTAACCCCAGCACACAAACCACAACACCGGGAAACGCCATTGACACTATCGTCACGGTAGCGATTACACAGTTGCAAACAACCTTACATCTTCCGCTCGGGAATAGGCCCTACAAGCAGGCCGGAAGCCCTTACCCAAGACCGAAGTCACGATATTAGAGATCAACCGTGTTCTTAGACTTTCTTGCCTTGCAAATTTTAAGAAGAGAAGATTGACGTGTTCGGCGGTAGAAGGATGAAAACCCCGCATCCCGTAGGCAGGGCCGTAATCTGGGCTTGTTGATGCGCTGGACCCGTACAAGTATCATACTCGAGCACTGCACGGAGGGCTTGGTGGGGCATGAAGTTGGCTTATCATACCTCTTGGACGTATGATAATGCCGTGGGGCGCTTTCCCAGTTCGGGCTGGCGTCCCTTAGTTAGTTATAAATATATCTGTCATACTTGATCGAAATCCCGCCCGCTCCGCGGCAAACAAGCATCGTATCGTCCGGTTAGTACAGTATCCGTACCACACTGGATGACCATGTGGGAATCCCGTACCGGTATGCTGAACTCTTCTGTCCCACTTTTTTCCTTTTTCCATTTTAGCTCGCTAAGCCCACAAATGGTACTGTAATGTCGAGTGAGGGGGCTCTATATATATCATGGGCTAAGCCGTGCTGGTGTTTTTGGCTTGCCGTAGGGGCTTCATTAGTACTCGTACAGCAGTGTTGCTCGCGACGGCGTGTCACTCCGGGGTCACTTGGTGACGAGTGTCACTTTGGACTCTACCGACACCCCGTCAGACAGGTATCATGATGGGGTGTCATGCTTAGTAATATACAATGAATGCACCAATTGCTACACCCAACCGGGGAGAGTGATTCTCTGTACTCGAGTACTCAAAAAGTAGGACAATATCCAGTGTTCCATAGAAGCTCTTCCCCTCGGAAAGAGCCGCGGAATCGCTTTTCTTCTTGGCAGTACTGAATATAAACTATTAACTCCCTTGAATGAGAGTTCAGCATACATAAACCCTTACCCAGCTATCGACACCCCGTCACCCCCTTCACTGACACCCTATCATAACCCCCCATCGCTAACATAACAGTATCAATTACCCATCACTCGTCGCGAGTAACACTGTCGTATCCCTTGGGCGGTCTGAAACAGTCAAAAATGGTCCCAGGCAAATCAATTCCTAGTTGGGATGACACCTTTCCAGAAGGAGTCCAACAGTGTGGTTGCACAACAACCTCAACTCTCACGCCCGGCCTTGAGAAGCAAATGCAATGCCAAACTCAAAGCAAGTACGAGTCCCTTTAGCACCCAGTTCTGCTAATTCCCGATCGCCGAAAAAGTCAAACATACGAAAGAAACCAACAAAAAATCCACGAAGTACCAGCAACCAAGATACGGGTGGAGTAGATGTTACCGGAGCTGAGAACTTTGTTCGGTCTGGCGAAAATGAACCAATCGTCTACGCTTCCTATACCCCTCTCGGCCCACGAATAGACCACAAGGGAGAGCCATTATTGCCCCGAGAAGACTCCGATATCACAATAGTTCAGATATTTGAGCTATTCTGGGACGAGGAGGCCATTGAACTGCTGGTAGCAGGAACCAATGCATACGCGGTAGAGAAAGGAGCCGGTAGTATGATACTACCTGAGAGAGGGAAAACACAACGACCATGGAAATGGGTAACGGGAAATGAGATGAGAGTGTTTCTAGCACTTTTAGTCTATATGGGGGCTCGGAGAGGCATGGGAAGTCAAGGGTTTTGGAGGTATAAGGGTGGAGATTCCATATTTCGAGCGATGTCACTCAAGCGCTTTAGTCAAATAAAACGCTATCTCCATATATCCAATCCCAAGCAATCACTACCTCGATCGCTCTGGCATCACAAGTTAGAGCCTTTAAATAGCCTCATTCGGAAGCGATGCCAGCAATATTATCTCCCCTCTTCCAACGTCACAATAGATGAGATGATGATACGTTTTGGAGGTCGCAGCCATCACACATACCGAATGCCTAGTAAACCTATTACTGAAGGCTATAAGGTGTTTGCATTGTGTGATATAGGATATACCTATAACTGGATGTTCGCTTCCCGGTCTGAATCATTTGCCGCACTCATCCATCAGGAAGGTCTTACTCCTACTGGGTCCGCTGTATTCCAACTAGCAACAGCCTTACCATACACCTCCGGCCTGCACTTCAACATATACATGGATAACTATTTCTCATATATCGCCCTTCTGGAGAGGTTACGGGAGGTAGGATTGGGTGCCTGCGGCACTGCGAGAGTGAATAGGAAAGCGTTTCCCCCACACCTTCACGATAACCGTACCGACATACCTTGGAATGAGGTTTCAGGAGGTTCTGCTTGCCCAAGTAGAGATGTTCTTGCCGTGCAATGGCAAGACAACAGCTCTGTCCACTTCCTCACGACAATCTATAATCTTGAGAATAGGGTAATCTCTGAACGCAAAAAGCCATGCCATAGTAGCAGCAATGGTCCTGCTGTTCGGCGAGCTTTTAGTGCTCCGGAAAGAGCTAGGATCCCAATTCCTGTAATCACGAATGATTACAATCAGTATAAGGTGGGGGTAGATGTGGCCGACCAGTACCGCAGCTACTACTTTACGCAACTCAAATGTCTACGAAACTGGCCTCCGATTTTTTATTGGTTATTAGACACCACAGTTATCAACTCTTATCTCCTTGCCCAACAACTTTCTCCTCCCTACGAGTATCATGGCTGCTCTCGCACCTTTCGTCTCAACCTTGCTGAATCACTAGTAGCCAAATACGCATCCAGTCAAGTTCCCCGAAAGCCCAGAAAAGCCTATTACACTCCTAAGACGAGCACTCCTCACTACAGCAAGCAACAGCAGAGAACTAAGCTTCCCCCTCCGACAGGTACCATGCTTCTCACTACAGCACGCAACAGCAGAGAACTAAGCTTCCTCCTCTGACAGGTACCATGCTTGATCACAACTTTACTCGCATACGAAACTCACAGGTCGGGTGTGCGCAATGTCGATTTATGTTGCGTAGTACGAATCGGAAGGGTGAAAGAGCCCATCGTACCCGGTATGGATGCCTAGGACTGGGCTGTGGCTTTTCTCTTTGTAAAGAATGTTATCGTATAAGACATGCTGGGCTTCCTATTCTACAGAATTAGTTTTATTCTAAATGTACCTTCAATTGATCATGATTGAGCAGGCATACATGCAAAGTACACCCTTGATAATTTGATATCGCTCACTTGATTTCTAAGCGCCAAGCTTCCCCTCTCAGTTTAGCGCCCTGGGACCATTTTTGACTGTTTCAGACCGCCCAAGGGATAGTACAATCAAGGGAA